ATATATATATATATATATATATATATATATATATATATATATATATATATATATATATATATATATATATAATTTATTTATTTAAATAATCAGCCAAAGTACTGTGTAAAATGTCACAGTACTTTGAAGTAATATTCAGTTGTCATTCAGCATAACCGATATAATTATGTAAAAATGGAACAATATACCTGTATTTATTAAAATATATAAAAGAAAATATGATCAGAAAAAAATAATGTAATGTGTTCCTTTCTAGGTAACATTCTTGGAGTGATCAGAGACCATCAGAAGTTGGTCTATACCTTCAGACTCATGCGTAGAGCAGGTTTTATAAACGAGTTTGTGTCCATTTCAACCAATTTGACCGACCGCTGTGTGTATATTTCTTCTGATGGGGGCCGTTTGTGCAGGTACTACAGAGTTTATTTTTTTATATCCCAAAATTAAAATCCTTTTGGAATATAAACTCTTTTAAAACCAGTACCCAATGTTGTTAGTTGCCTTGTATTGCACAGACACATTTGAATTGCATTCTGTGTGCTCCTGGCAGACCCTACATCATTGTAAAGAATGGACAGCCAGCTGTGAAGAACAAACACATTGAGGAATTGTCTCAGGGCTACAGGTGCGTTTGAAGCCAATCAATATTTGAAAATTACATTTGAATGGAGAGTCCAGAATGTAGATTTGAGACTGTCTTATGCATGCCTTTTCATTGTGTTTTTACCACCCACTTTTCCCTGTAGAACGTTTGAGGACTTCCTTCATGAGAGTCTGGTGGAGTATTTGGATGTAAATGAAGAAAATGACTGTAACATTGCTTTATATGAGCATATGATCACCGAGTGAGTACTTATAAGCCACATAATTCAGGCCTTTAAAGTATTTGGACACTTAGACCATTATCATTGCAATAGGAAACTGATCTGAAAAGTGTTTAGTTTAAAAATATTATACTTTTTTCTTTTTTTTCTATTTTAAAAGAAAATGTTACCTTGTGTCTTGTTTTGTTATCTAATGTAATGACTCTGTAGGGAAGCTTAATATATCTGTACCATATTCATTATATCAATATTGCAGAATTTTAATTTATAATGGTATATATTTTTTAATATATATATATATACATGTATATATTTTGTATTAAAATTAATATGTAGCTTGATTTTAATTTAGATGTATCTGTTCATACAGGAAATTTAATTACATGCGTTACCATATTTTTATTCCAATATTTAGATTACCTTTATCATTATCTATTGTTCACTTAAATCTTTAACTAATGCTAATCATTTAATTATTAATGCTGTTAAATGTGAATGATCAAATCCCAATTGGAATCTGGGTTTTCATATTGTACATTATAATGCTGTGATGCCTAAATTCACTTGTTTCATTTCAAATTATTTTATTTTTAGAGTTTTATATTTATTTTTTCAGAAAAATATTAAAGGGGTCATATGATGCTATTAAATTTTTTCCTCTCTCTTTGGAGTGTTACAAGCTCTTGGTGCATAAAGAAGATCTATAAAGTTGCAAAGACTAAAGTCTCAAATCCAAAGAGATATTCTTTATAAAAGTTAGTCAACCACGCCTACCTAAAACTGCTCGTTCTAACACGCCCCCACATATCCCCACGATGTGGGAAGATTTGCATAACACTGCCCAAATGTTCATGCAAAGAAAGAAGGCGTAACTTTGATTCTCGCTGTAGTATTGTTGTTGCCGTGTGTTTCGTTGTGAAAGCGAAACTACTTTTTTGGTCTTCCAAGAGAGGACACGACTAGAAATCAGTGGTTAAGTTGTATTTACAACACTGTTCCAGAACAGTTCAACCCAAATATTTAGATGTGTGCAGTGCATTTTATGGAGGACTGTTTCCTGATCCTGGTAGAGTAGACTACAATGCCGGCTGTTCTGACTCACAGACTGTAAGTACGTTTTTCATATTTAAAGGATTTGCCACTGACGATTCAAACGCAAGTTTTGAGCCGTGTAGAGTAGCGCTAGTTGTTTGTCGTTTCTCTGATCACAAATGCAGACATGGTTTTACGTTTACGCGGCGTGATGCAATGCAACGCGTAAAAAGACAGCATAAATCATTATAATCCGTAATTATGTCTCCACTGGATGCAACAAATGCCTCGTTTATAATGGGTTTTAATGTTTTTGTCTCTTCGCTCTGGCCGGGACACGGCATCACAGTATGGTAAGGGGCGTAACATTTCCGTCACATGCTTGAGGTATTCGGCCAATCACAACGCACTGGATAACTGGCCAATCAGAGCACACCTCGCTTTTCAGACCGATGAGCTTTGTAAAAATCTACGCGTTTCAGAAAGGCGGGGCATAGAGGAGAAACAATAATGTACAGTATGTGGAAAATAATGTGTTTTTTGAACCTTAAACCCCATAAACGCATTTCATTACACCAAATAATGTTATTTTTAGCAACATCATATGACCCCTTTAAAGAGTTTTATTATCAGCCATAATGATTGATTTATTATTAGTATTGGGCAAAAATAATATTGGTGCTTTTCTAAAATTACGTTTGGACACCTTCATATACAAACAGTCCAAATACTCTTTAGAGACACTGTATATGGCATCCATTAAGACTCAAATATAGATTTCTTATAAATAAATAAACAAACAAAAAAAAAAGGTTCTTCTGAATATACATGCTGAGCAATGTGTGATTTATTTAGGGGCACGACCCATTTGGAGATCGAACCGTTCACGCTGCTGGGGGTCTGTGCTGGTTTGATTCCTTACCCTCATCATAACCAGTCCCCCAGAAACACCTACCAGTGTGCTATGGGCAAGCAGGCTATGGGTAAGACTACTACAGTCTCCATCTCCAAACATCCACTTCCAAACACACACTCCTTTTCACTCATAGACACACTCACTTTCACACTAGCTTTCAAAACCTTTGACATACACACCACATTCTGTATGTATGTGGACATCAAACATCGCCTGCTTGCATAGTCCCGCTTTTGTGAGTGCATGCATGCGTGTGTGTGTGTGTGGAAGCCTTTCCCTGCCAGTGTCTCTGAGTGTCATTACGCATTCATTGTGTCCTGAGCTCAGTGTGCCGAGCAGGGTTAGTGTGCTCAGCTGCGCAAGAGGGAAGGAGCACACACACTCCGCTGCCCTGGTTACCAAACTACTTAAACCTCTCCTGGCCACCTCCCCCATTACAAAACCACTGAAACTGTGACTATATTTGGCCCAATATCTTAGGCCTTGTCTTCTTTTTTCTGGACGGACAGCCCCATACATGTGCAAATCCAGTTGTGTGGCCCCAGCCCTATTATCACACACTGTGTGCTTGTACCCTGATTGTAGCGTAATAGCATCTGACAAATGTCAAGGCCTCAAGGGACGGTGGCTATTATACTTAAACCTAACCCCCTCGCTCCATCTCTGCCATGCTAAACCTCCACCCCAGAGATTTTAACACTGCCGACACCAGCCATCACACCAACACCCCTCAGACAGTCGGTTAAACGTGATCAGATGTTCATTAGCTGTTTCATATTGTTTGAAAAGCATTGAATTGAGTTGCAGCAAGTTAAGAAAAACCTTAGTGTAATTGTAAAGGCCTTTCTGGCAACAATAAAGTTCTATATGTTCACATTTGATAATACAGTAGCTATCATGAAATAATGAAATATTTCTTTTGCAGTATTTATTAGTCTTGGACAATGTTAAAAACATTAGTATTTGTAGAAATTAGTATGTTAAGCTGTACAAATTAACATTAGTTAATGCATTAGTAGTACATACAGTGGGTACGGAAAGTATTCAGACCCCCTTAAATTTTTCACTCTTTGTTATATTGCAGCCATTTGCTAAAATCATTTAAGTTCATTTTTTTCCTCATTAATGTACACACCGCACCCCATATTGACAGAAAAACACAGAATTGTTGACATTTTTGCAGATTTATTAAAAAAGAAAAACTGAAATATCACATGGTCCTAAGTATTCAGACCCTTTGCTCAGTTTTTAGTAGAAGCACCCTTTTGATCTAATACAGCCATGAGTCTTTTTGGGAAAGATGCAACAAGTTTTTCACACCTGGATTTGGGGATCCTCTGCCATGCCTCGAACATTAAAAAATAGATATCTTTATATGGATATTTGCATTAGCATTAGCCTTAAATTTTAAAGTATTGTTCGTTATTAGTTCATGGTAATACATTGTTTATTGTTAAAGGGATAGTTCTAAAAATTATTATTATTATTATTTATTCAACCTCATGTTGTTCCAAACCTGTATGTTTTTCTTTATTTTGTGGAACATAGAAGATATTTTAAGAAATTAAGAAGTCTCCTTTTCTCCATAAAATCATCTATATGTTCATACAATTGAAGTCAATGGGGTCCAATGTTGGTTGATTCCCAGTGTTCTTCAAAATATATTATTTTGTATTTTGCAGAAGAAAGTAAGTCAGATAAGTTTGAAACGACATGAGGGGAGAATAAATGACACGATTTCATTTTTGGGTAAACTACTCTTTTATTGGTTCACCCAATGTTGCTACATTATGTTGGTCAGAGCAGTGTTGTTAAAGAAATAGTTCACCAAAAAATTTAAATTCTGTAATTAATTACTCGCCCTCATGGCGTTCCAGACCTTCATTCATCTTCGAAACAGAAATTAAGATATTTTTGATGAAATCTGAGAGCTTTCTGACCCTGCATGGACAGCAACGCTACAGACACGTTCAAGGCCCAGAAAGGTAGTACGGACATCCTGAAATTAGTCCATGAGACATTAGTTCAACCATAATTTTATGAAGCACCGAGAGTACAAAAAAAATACTATATTCAAAGATTTTTTTCTCTTTTGTGTCAGTCATCATCGTGCGTTTATGAGAGTACCACGATGAGTCGTGGTGCTGTCGTGAACGCTCATCAAAGACTGACACGGAAGAGAAGAAACTGTTAAATAAAGTTGTTGTTTTTTTTTCCCCTTGTGCACAAAAAGTATTCTTGTGGCTTCATAACATTACACTTGAACTACTGATGTCACGTGGACTATTTTAACAATGCCCTTACTACCTTTCTGGGCCTTAAATGTGTCAGTTGCGTTGTTGTCTATGCAGGGTCAGAAAGTTCTCGATTTTCATCAAAAATATCTTAATTTGTGTTCCAAAGATCAACGAAGGTCTTATGGGTTTGGAACGACATGAGGGTGCGTAATTAATGACAGAATTTTCATTTTTGGGTGAACTATCCCTTTAAACGCCATAATACATAATATATAATGACATTTATTAACCAGAAATGTGGCAAAAAGCCCAAAATAAATAATATTATATAAAAATATTAATTTATACACCAAGGCAGTATTTTTCCTCTTTTGCATCTTGTTCAACCCTTTTGAGTGATGCCTCATTTCATCACTGATTTTGATCAGGTACTATTGGTTATAACCAGAGGAACCGAATAGACACCCTGATGTACCTGCTAGCGTACCCACAGAGGCCTATGGTGAAGACGAAGACCATCGAGCTGATTGACTTTGAGAAGCTGCCCGCAGGCCAGAATGCTACTGTGGCTGTAATGAGCTACAGTGGCTATGATATAGAAGACGCCCTGGTGCTCAACAAGGCCTCTCTTGACAGAGGTAAGAGCTAAATAACTCATGCTGAATGCTTAGACTCATTCAGTTATCAGTTTAGTAGCATTCTGAAGTGACTATACTAACTTTCCAAATTAAATTGAGAATGAAATCTGAAAAATAATGTAGATTTCCATTGTGTTCACTTTTGTTCATTGTCCTCCATTGTTCTTCTGTCTTGTATTAGGCTTTGGTAGATAGAATTTTCATTTTTGGGTGAACTATCCCTTTAAACGCCATAATACATAATATATAATGACATTTATTAACCAGAAATGTGGCAAAAAGCCCAAAATAAATAATATTATATAAAAATATTAATTTATACACCAAGGCAGTATTTTTCCTCTTTTGCATCTTGTTCAACCCTTTTGAGTGATGCCTCATTTCATCACTGATTTTGATCAGGTACTATTGGTTATAACCAGAGGAACCGAATAGACACCCTGATGTACCTGCTAGCGTACCCACAGAGGCCTATGGTGAAGACGAAGACCATCGAGCTGATTGACTTTGAGAAGCTGCCCGCAGGCCAGAATGCTACTGTGGCTGTAATGAGCTACAGTGGCTATGATATAGAAGACGCCCTGGTGCTCAACAAGGCCTCTCTTGACAGAGGTAAGAGCTAAATAACTCATGCTGAATGCTTAGACTCATTCAGTTATCAGTTTAGTAGCATTCTGAAGTGACTATACTAACTTTCCAAATTAAATTGAGAATGAAATCTGAAAAATAATGTAGATTTCCATTGTGTTCACTTTTGTTCATTGTCCTCCATTGTTCTTCTGTCTTGTATTAGGCTTTGGTAGATGTCTAGTGTACAAGAACGCTAAGTGCACCTTAAGGCGGTACACTAACCAGACCTTCGACAAAGTGATGGGTCCAATGTTGGATGCGGAAACACGCAAGCCCATTTGGAGACACAGCATCCTGGATGCTGATGGCATCTGCTCGCCTGGTAAGACTCTTAGAAAGAACCACATTTCAGCCGAATAATATAGACTATATTGATTTAAGGATATGTATTGATGTTTTATATGTCATATCCCTCACAGGTGAGAGGGTTGAAAACAAGCAGGTGCTGGTGAATAAGTCAATGCCAACCATCACCCAAACGCCACTGGAGGGCAGTGCCCAACCAGGCCAACCACAATACAAAGACGTGCCAGTCACGTAAGAAACCATTTGTCTGATGAAATTAAATTAGAATCCCACTGTGCAATATTCCAGCTGTTTTATTTGAGATAATTAAGTTAATTTTCTAAAAGCTACACAAATACCCACTTTCTTCATTCTATAGGTACAAAGAAGTTATTTTTTGTTTTGCCCAATAGCAAACAAAATGCATACTTTTTTCATTCTGTAGGTACAAAGTTGTTTTTTGTTTTACGTAATAGCAACAAAAAATGCCTACTTCATTCTGTAGGTACGAAGTTGGGATTTTTTTGCCCAATAGCAACAAAAAAGGCCTACTTTCTTCATTCTGTAGGTACAAAGTTGTTTTTTGTTTTGCGTAAAAGCAACAAAAATGCCTACTTCATTCTGTAGGTACAAAGTTGTTTTTTGTTTTGCGTAAAAGCAACAAAAATGCCTACTTCATTCTGTAGGTACAAAGTTGTTTTTTGTTTTGCGTAAAAGCAACAAAAATGCCTACTTCATTCTGTAGGTACAAAGTTGTTTTTTGTTTTGCGTAAAAGCAACAAAAATGCCTACTTCATTCTGTAGGTACAAAGTTGTTTTTTGTTTTGCGTAAAAGCAACAAAAATGCCTACTTCATTCTGTAGGTACAGTTGTTTTTTGTTTTGCGTAAAAGCAACAAAAATGCCTACTTCATTCTGTAGGTACAAAGTTGTTTTTTGTTTTGCGTAAAAGCAACAAAAATGCCTACTTCATTCTGTAGGTACAAAGTTGTTTTTTGTTTTGCGTAAAAGCAACAAAAATGCCTACTTCATTCTGTAGGTACAAAGTTGTTTTTTGTTTTGCGTAAAAGCAACAAAAATGCCTACTTCATTCTGTAGGTACAAAGTTGTTTTTTGTTTTGCGTAAAAGCAACAAAAATGCCTACTTCATTCTGTAGGTACAAAGTTGTTTTTTGTTTTGCGTAAAAGCAACAAAAATGCCTACTTCATTCTGTAGGTACAAAGTTGTTTTTTGTTTTGCGTAAAAGCAACAAAAATGCCTACTTCATTCTGTAGGTACAAAGTTGTTTTTTGTTTTGCGTAAAAGCAACAAAAATGCCTACTTCATTCTGTAGGTACAAAGTTGTTTTTTGTTTTGCGTAAAAGCAACAAAAATGCCTGCTTCATTCTGTAGGTACAAAGTTTTTTTTTTTTGCCCAATCGCAACCAAAATGCCTACTTCATTCTGTAGGTACAAAGTTGGGGTTTCTTGCCCAATAGCAACCAAAATGCCTACTTTCTTCATTCTGTAGGTACAAAGTTGTTTTTTTTTGCCCAATCGCAACCAAAATGTCTACTTTCTTCATTCTGTAGGTACAAAGTTGGGGTTTTTTTGCCCGATAGCAACCAAAATGCCTGCTTTCTTCATTCTGTAGGTACAAAGTTGGGGTTTCTTGCCCAATAGCAACCAAAATGCCTACTTTCTTCATTCTGTAGGTACAAAGTTGTTGTTTTTTTGCCCAATAGCAACCAAAATGCCTACTTTCTTCATTCTGTAGGTACAAAGTTAGGTTTTTTTGCCCAATAGCAACCAAAATGCCTACTTTCTTCATTCTGTAGGTACAAAGATGTTTTTTTGCCCGATAGCAACCAAAATGCCTACTTCCTTCATTCTGTAGGTACAAAGTTGGGTTTTTTTGCCCAATAGCAACCAAAATGCCTACTTTCTTCATTCTGTAGGTACAAAGGAGCGACAGACTCCTACATTGAGAAGGTGATGATCTCCTCCAATGCTGAGGACGCCTTCTTGATCAAGATCCTGCTCAGGCAAACACGTATACCAGAGATCGGAGACAAGTTCAGCAGTCGACATGGACAGAAAGGTACCATAACATCCTTCCTGCCTTTTCCAAACTGGCATCTTTTCCTCTGCTTTAGTAGATATCAACATATGAAACCAAATTCCAGCACCGTGCCAAAATGAACACAATAAACCCATCTCATTAACAAGTGAGGAGAGATGTTTCTAAACTTGATGTCCATTTTATTTTCAACACCCAAGTTATATCGTCTCAGCTGGCCCTCCCATTCTCTTCAACTTTTTTTCCGCTTCCCGTTTTTCAATTAATTAGCTTTTTGTCCCATGCCAGACTATGCAAATTTATTACAGCAGCGCAGTCCTGGGAAAGTGTTTACAGCCCCCATTGTTTCTAAGCACCTCCACTGAGAGAGCTGGTCAGTATGATGTTTTAATCAGAGCGCTAACTGGCGCCATGCATAATTCACTCATTTCATTAGCGGAGGTTGTCCACTGGCACTCATCACGGGACGTGACAGTGAGGAGGGGTTAGCCGCAAACCGCCTGAGATGCTATTTACTGCTCTTTTTAAAGGAGCTTTTGGTATTTAAAGGAGCAGGCAAGTGTCGGTGGACCAGGATAACACAAGGCAGCTAATTGTTGTTGTGAAGGATAGTGCCGTTCTCTTGAATGTCTTTTGTGCCTTTAGAGGCGGGCTTTTATTGAACAATCCCACTCGGAGAAGTTGAGCTGTGTTTTCCAGAGGTGCGTGACTGCGCTGCCAACCACACAATAACATTCAGCGGGAATGAATTTGTTTCTATATTTCTTTGCAGTGTTTGTGGTGGGTTAATTAATGCATCCCCTGTGTGTGCACTAAACAGGCACTTTAAGGTGCTTTTTTGTTGGAAAATTAGTTTGAGAGAACGCTGTACTTCAAAGAAAGAGATTTGGCTACCTTTTGGGGCAAAAGAAAGCCCATTAAAGACGTCCCACCGTGGTTTGGAGCCATTGGCTTTCAGCAAGTTTCACGGGAGTTTTGTCTTACTCATTTTAAACCCCTCCCTCATCCTGCACCCCCATTCTGACCAGCCTCTACCACCCTCATAAGATCCGGTCACCGGAGAACGATAGGTTAATTATTTACCGGTGACCCAAACACACACTGAAGCGCACACACACACACACACACTCTGATACTCACACAGCTGTCTTGGCAGGGTCCATTGTGCAAGCCACCACAGTGGGGCTGTATAGGTGATGGAGGGCCATGGACTCTTACTGCTGTCCTGCTATTCTTTACTGATTTCATGCCTCTTTTATCATTCACTCTCACACAAAACAAACAACACAGAGGATGTGTGCTATGGGAACTGCTCTTGCTTACCTCTCTGCTTCTGTTGCACTCTTGCTCTCTTGCTCTCTTTCTGTATTCTTGCAGCAGGAAATCCTTTTACCTGCTAGGGCTGCTACTAACAACTATTTTGATGATTGATTGCCTGGATTTATTGGATTAACAATTATTTTCTTAAATTAAAATGTTATTTTACTATTTGTTCTGTATTAAAATATGCAAATTCTACTATCGTTGAAAAGTTTGGAAGATTAAATCAGCAAGGACACATTAAATTAATCAAAAGTGACAGTAAAGAGTTTTACCTGGTTGCAAAAATTTTTTTTTGAATCGGCCGATAATGGCTTTAAATGTAAATATCGGCATCGGCCCGATATGAAAAATTATGCCGATATGTCTTGTCGATAAGAGGAATACCTTAACTCACATGTGCTCAGGTGTGCTAGCGATTAGATTACGTCAGCAGTGTGGCTAATTCTTGAAGCAAAGTTTTGTCTGAATGATGATTAGATTCACTCTTTTGGATCGCTGCATTTAATCTGTGAAAGCACATACAGAATGACGCGTTTGGTGTGTCATAAACAGTAATAGCAGGTGCAGTGGCAGCAGCGGCAGCCTCCCCCAGGTCCTAACAGCCGTTCTGTAAGGACTTTTAATCTTTAGGGGCTGCTGTTGGCCTACTTCTAATTAAATTAAAAGTCAAATAGCCTACACAAATAACATTTAGACGGTTATTTCTGATTAAATGAAGCAGTAATTGATGTCATAAAATAATTAGTATGTTTTGATTTAAAGGTCAGAAGCTATAGCTTACATGAAAGAAAAATCACAAACATGACACTTGTAAATTAAATAATTTGATTTAAAAATTAAATATACTGATTTATTCATTAATGTGTAATGTTTTATTTTTTAAACAAATCATAAGCTCTAAAAGATTTTCTGAATTTTTACAACTCTTTTGCTTTAGACCATCTACAAATGTTAAATCTTAAAATAAAATGTTAGGGTTAACTGCATCTTTCTGGGAAAATAAATGCAGCGATTGATATATAGTTTATTTATAGTTATTTTCAATGTACTGTCAAAAAACCTTCATTATTGTTTTTTTCATTCTAACAAAGTTCTTGTTAAAAACTAACCAAAATTAAAAATATATTGCTTATAATTTCTGAACAGGATAGACTTGGTGTTGTTTCTAAACAAAAGGAAATATATTGGTATCGGCCAAAATTAGTTTAAAAATATCGGATATCGGCAAAAATCCAATATTGTGCATCCCTAGAACTTTCTATTCATCAAAGAATCCTGAAATAAATGTATCACGGTTTCCAAAAAAATAAGCAGCACAATTGTTGATCAGATTATCATTGATTAATTGCAGCCTTGGTGAACATAAAAAAAAAAAAATCAACCAACTCCAAACAGTTGAACAGTAGTGTAACTGTTACAGTTTGGGTGGCATAATCAAGTAAACTGTTGATATAGTTGTTTAACTAATCAGATTTTTTTTATTAATTGAGCAAAATGAAACATTCACTACTGTGAAGTGACATCTATAATAAATTGTGTTATAATAATAATAATTTTCTATTTACTTATCTATTTTTGTGAATTCATTGTTGCGTTGCTTTAGGTACTTATTTTGGTCTTAAATTAAACATTTAACCAAAATATTGAGTAATCTGATTAAATCTGTGTAAAATTATATTATTTATATGAAAATGTTAAAATAAAATGTTAAAATGTTAAAATATTGATATATAATAATCCTGATCCTAGTATATTTCTAGTATGAAGAGCCGATGTATGCGATGTATGTGTGTGTATAAATATAATTTTTAATTAATTTTGACTACCCAAGTTCTTCTCAAGAGCCTAGATTTTTCTTTTCTTTTGCTTATGGATTTATCGCTCTCCTTAGTTGAACCTTTCTTTGTGCACTCTATGGTAAAGGGGAACTATGGATGCATAATCCCCTTCTCACTGTCCAGCTAAGCACCTCTCCTCACTTCCTGCCCCTGTTCTTCTCTTTTATCACTTGCAAATGGCCCAATAATGTGTTTGCTCTGGCTGCGGGAAGAGTGAGGAGCTCCTCCGCAAACATTTACACTCTCACTGAACGCTTTGGACCACTTTCACTCTGTCCTGCAGTCTGAATTTCCAATGGTTCCACTTCAGCAGACCTGAATAAGTCTGCTTTGTAGGCCTTTGGACTAGATGAAAGTTACATAAACCTCACACTTTCTCATCAAGCATTTGTTTGTGACTGAAATCACTCAAAAATCAATTAAGTTTTATGGGAAAGGTCAGCTCTGACATGGTAGAGTTAACATTTCTTGCAGACCATTTGAATATAGGGATGTCTTTGACATAGTTTTTGTAATATGGGAAATTTTTTCTGTTACAGGTGTGTGTGGATTGATTGTTCCTCAAGAGGACATGCCCTTCTGTGACTCGGGAATCTGCCCTGACATCATCATGAACCCTCATGGTTATCCCTCCAGAATGACTGTACGTCCTTTCCATCATAAAAGTATATGATGTTTATATTTGAATGAATTTACCTGTTCCAGAGATTACACTTTTGTGGTTTTATATAAAACATTTAAAGAAGCCATTAAGTAAGATTCATAATTAATATTAAACCTTTTATTTCAGGATTTAATTCAGATGCCTTATTACACAGCTTTCTAGAATACTTTCTAGAATACCCAGGCAACTAATGAAAATCAAGATTTAAGCATATTTATGTGTTAATTAGCCATGTAATAAGCAGGATAAAGTACTAAAGCTGGCTATTTTGCAGTAAATACATATTCCTTTGGCAGGAGATTTTTAAATCAAATACTTCTGGCTCAGATTTTAGTGTGTGTGTGTCTGTATTTTTCTTTTTCTGAATGGTCTCATAATACACACTACCATTCATAAGTTTGAGTCTGTAAGGTTTTTTAAAAACATTTTTGTTTCTCTTATGCTCACCAAGAATGCATTTATTTCATAAAAACCTGTAATATTACCATTTAAAATACCATTTTTCAATTTTAATATATTTTAAAATACAATTTATTCCTGTGATGGCAAAGCTAAATTTTCAGTCTTTAGTGTCATATGATTCTTCAAAATCATTCTAATATGCTGATTTGGTGTTCAATATGTTGAAAACAGTTTTGGGACGAATAGAATGTTCAAAAGAATGTCATTTATTGGAAATGGAAATCTTGTGTAGCATTATAAATGTCCTTGCTGTCACTTTTGATAAATTGAATGCATCCATGCTGAAAAAAAGTATTAATTTCTTGTTTTATATATATATATATATATATATATATATATATTTCTAACACCTTTATTAATCTTAATTTCAAAATGTACTAATACATAATTAAATCAAAAGTTGTATCTGTTAACATTATTTAATGGACCTAATCTAACAAGAACCAACAAAAAAACAGTTGTATTTTTATTAATTAACATTAACGAAGGAATTAATAAATACCACAAAAAATATATTACTCATTGTTAATGTTGGTTAATGCATTAACTCATGTTTACTAATGGAACCTTATTGTAAAGCGTTACCATACTTAATTTAATATTGATAATAATTTTGAAACTAACAGTTACGTTTTATATTTGAATATTTATGTATTGCAAAAATCTGAGTTTTCTTCTCTGTTGCACATTACTGTAATACTTTTTTTTTGGTAATTGGCTCTTAGGGAACCTCTGGAAGCCTACATCTACTTTGGTCCAGTCTATTATCAGAAACTGAAGCACATGGTGCTGGATAAAATGCATGCCAGAGCACGTGGTCCGAGAGCAGTACTCACTAGGTAAGAAATCCAAATATACGTGTTCTCTGAAATTTGATTTGTAATATTTATTCATTAGGGTAATAAATTGTTTATTATTCTGTCTTTTATTTTTTATTGTAATTAAAATCAAATTTTATTGTTTTTAATTTTATTGTAATGCAGGCAGCCCACAGAGGGTCGTTCCAGGGATGGTGGTCTCCGTCTGGGAGAGATGGAACGAGACTGTCTCATTGGCTATGGAGCCAGCATGCTGCTGCTTGAGCGACTGATGATCTCCAGTGATGCTTTTGAGGTGGACGTGTGTGACCAATGTGGCTTGCTGGGATATTCAGGATGGTCAGTATAATCCATTACTGTAGTGTATTATTATTTTTTTTTCAGTATCAATAATAATGTAGTCACAAGTGCATCAAAGGGATTTATTAGTGAGAATTTTCTGTTTATTGCAGGTGTCATTACTGCAAGTCTTCATGCCATGTGTCGTCTCTACGAATTCCATATGCCTGCAAACTGCTCTTCCAAGAGCTGCAATCCATGAACATCATCCCTCGCCTCAAACTGGCTCGATACAACGAGTGAAGGCGAGTGATTACAGCAATTCGCCAAAGCTTTACACACAGAGGAGTGATACAGTATTATTAAGGACTGCATAAAACATTTGTTTAAGCCTCACTTGAAACATGTTCATTTCATTTTTGTTAAACAGCTTTGTGTGTATGTATATATATATATATATAAAAAGAAGTGCCTGCTTGAATGTAGGTTTTTTTTTTTTTTTTTGACTTGAAGGGAATAAACTGATTATTGGCATTTCCTCTAGTTTACAGTATGTATGTGTGCTGTCTGAAATATGTCGATTTATTTGTTTCAGTTTGCCTTTAGAATGGTAAGGTTTGCTTTATAATAAACAAATAAATAGTAAAGGTACATTATGAATAATGTGTACATTTTGTTTTTGTTGCATCTCAAGACATTTTCTTTTTTTTTTTAAGAGTGATGATCAGAAAATATTGGGGGTGGAAGTATTGAGCAGTCTTGATGAAGTGTTAATGTGACAACACTGACAGCAGAAAGGAGCTGCTTGTTACATTGACCACCTTCCCACTTTGCTGCTTTTTTTATACACCAAATCATCCACTATTCAAAGATTGCTCCCACCCACCAAGCAGCCGTGGAAGGCTTTGATTGGAAGAATGCATCTCACATCGGTAGAATGGGCACTGACAGTGCGGCTCACTCGCTGGTTGGGGGGGGTATAAGGGTCTGAGGGTGTCTCTTTTGGCCGGCTGCACCTGTCCTAGCTAATGAGGGGCTAATGAGACTGAGGGTAGATGAACAGAAAAAGGAAGTCTTCTGAGGAGACGATGCAAAGATTGCCTTCCTCCTCCCTCCTTTCCTTCACAGCCTCCATCTTTAAAACTGTAATTAAGGAAATTTTCATTGATGTTTGCCTCTCTCTCGCCATCCACTTCCCAGCTTGTTAGAGGTGATGGTTAATCCATAGTTTCAAATGAAAGCTGGTATACTGGCCTTTAGATGAAGCTTTCAATTTGTTATTTTGTTCTGTTTCTTTGAAGATTTGTAGTATTAGTTCTGTTTTATTTATTGTTTACTTATTTTTAATATGAGAGGTACACTACTGTCAAACATTTGGAGTTATGATTTTTTTTTTTTTTTTTTAAAGAAATTATAATATTACAAGTCATAATAAGTTTTCTATTTTAATATATTTTAAAATGTAATTTATTCCTATGATGGCAAAGCTGAATTGTCAGCAGCCATTACTCCAGACTTCAGTGTCAGTCAGATTATCATTCAGAAATCATTCTAATATGCTGATTTGCTGCTGAAAATACTTGTGTTGCTTAATATTTTGTGGAAACTAATGCATTTTTTCTGGATACTTAGATGAATAGATGAACAACATTTATTTGAAACAGAAATGTCTTTAACCCTACTTTTTATGAATTTAATATGTCCTTGCTGAATAAAAAGACTTATTTCTTTAAGAACAAATCTTTCTGACCCCGACCTTTTGAACAATAGTCAATGTCTAGACAGCAAACTGGAAAACTGAGCCATAGCATAGCCGCTGTGGACCAAAAAACAGCTGTTGCCAACAATGGACAATAAGCAAAGATGCTATGCTGTAATAACTGATGGCTCAGTGTTGGTTATACGATAAAATATAAAACCAATGACATCTGCAAAGAAAATTAACTTTAACTACTTTGAAAGTATTTAGAAGTTCTCAAGTTCACACAGGTGAACATTTATGCCATCTAAGGATATTTTACACTAACATTTGACAACCAGAAAGTGTCCAAACTCAGATATTTCCATGTATATCTGTTGTTTTAACTTTTAAATAATTGGCAGTTGGTTTGATATTTTCTAACTCAATGTTCTAATCTTTAAGTGTTTAAACACATTTTGGGGGCCACCGTACATTAGTTCCATCCAAACCTCAAATGACAAATATCTCCAGCTGAAGTCCTGCCGCCACACAGCGAGGAGCCTGTCGTGGCATCCTTACGCCTGCGCAGTCGATAGATGTAGGAGCAAGCGTTCCTCTGCCATCCAGCAAGTGGGGAGCAGTTCCACCATAATCCCCCTTTCTCCTACTCTCTCTCTCTTTCCCCCGTGGATCCATTCATATTCTAATCACAGCTTTCCCTTCTGCAGTTTGTAGGCACTCCATCAGAGCCCTCCCTGCCTCAGGCTCTACACTTTTACTTCCCTCCTTTGTGGCCGCACTCTCCTCCCAGCACACTAAAATAAGGTTGCTTCAAGGAGAGAGCATGAAGGGGAGGGGGTCCACCAAACTTTCTCTTTCCAGTTTTGCCAACTGCCTTAATGGGCGTTTGGTGTTAAAAGCATCCAATATGACGATGGAATGCATTTGTGTGAGTTCAACGTTTTTTGCATCGATTTTGAATGAATGCAACTTCGACGCTCACGTTTCCAGAGCTTCGGAGTTGAAGACATCAAAAAAAAAGTTTTGCAATGGGCCAAAAAGTGGCCCTTGGAAGGAGGACTTTAAAACTAAAGCAGTGGGGGCAGAGTGTGTATGTGCGTGTGAGGAGAGGGTACGAAAACGTATTAAATGCTATAATGGGAGACGGGGAGGCCACAGTGCTGGGTTTGCGTAGATCTAAGCCTCTTTTTTTTTCTGGGAAGGGAGCTTTTCTTATTCAAAACAGCCTCACAAAAGACTTCCAGTGAGCCTTGCCACATCCCCATCTGACTCGAAGCCATTCATCAGCCTGCCGAGCCTATCAATGACATGTCCCCCATCAGGGCTCCTATAAAATCAGCCCCTTTCCCATGAAACATCAGCAAACATTTTGACGGCTCTGGCTTTTCCCCCGCTGGATCTCTGGAGTCTGTGACCCCCTCTCCACCCTACCCGCTCCTACAACCCACACCCCCACCTCCATCACCACCGCCACCCTCTCCACGGACCTCACATCTTATCCATCTCAGCACCGGGCAGTTCTCTTGGAGAGACGGAGGGAGCTGAGGAGGGGGAGTCCTGCACGGAGCCATTTTCTCAAAGGAGCCCCTGGAACGTGCATGGGAAAAGGATGCATTGTGGGCTGCTGGAAGAGCCTGACATGGATTCCACAGGTTGGTTCCTGCTGCACCTCCATGACATCGGGACGTTTGGGATCTGGCCTCTTTTGGAACGCGAAGCGGGCCTTGAGATTGTGTGACCTGAGATTGGCATCAGAAAAAGTTATTTAACCTTCCATCAGGGAAGCTCTTGTTCACCAAGAGATAAATTGGCATGTTTTTAATTGCTCAGGATGGGTGCTCTTTTGCTGAGATTATTGTTTTACGTGGTTTTGGGATTACGTAAAGTGGACGGCAGTTTTACGGAGTAGCAATGTGACCTTAAATTTTGGTCACAGTTCTGAGTTTGTAGTCCAGTTTAAAAGTTTTATGAAAATGAGGCACCTGCTCAAGCCAGGTTTTGACTCGAGTGAAACTGCACTCTGTACTATTGGTAAATATAAAATTGCTGCTTGAAAACAACATTATAATCTGTACAGAATATTTAGATAACAGATGTTATGCTGTAGTGTTTTACTAATTTAGTTTTTAAAACACGTTCCATGTGGCTTCAAAAAGCAGTTACTCAGTTCAATTCGGTTCAGTGCAATTGTTCTAGGAAAACAATTAGAAGTTAATTATTGAATATTTGCTATATTTAAATGACGCTTTTTCACTCTGATATTTAATGCATGATTATGAACGATCTCCAATCAGTCTCGCCGTTAGATTGGATTTAATCCAATTATTTAGAGCACTTAAACTGTTCACAGAGCAAATAATTCAGTTACAGACTGAAAATCTGATCTCAGTTGACTAAGCCAACGCTGACAGAGATGAATTAGTTTCTAAGAAAAAAATATTTGTTGAGCTTCAAAATAACAGCTGCAGAATAATGATACTTTTTCAAATGTAAATATATTTCAAATAAAATGTCAGCAAAAATTTAACTAAATTGTTTAAAAAAGTAATAATTACCAATTGGTGGCGTTCCAAATAATGTATTATTGCTATTTTAAAAAGTCAAATAAATAGTTTAGACAGCTTGTTATTGTCTGGTGTTATCACTGATAGTGCCATTTTTTTAATTACCTTATATATTTTGTAATACAAAGGATAATACACATTTTAAGTAAATTTTACTTGTTTATCTTTTTCTCTATCTGACAATAAGTCACTATAAGGAAAGCTTGTAAAATAACCAAACTTAAGTTTGTTAAGAACTTTAATTAAAATAAAGATAATAATTGGCCTTAACCCAGTTATGTGAGACACGTGTGATAGGCTACTGTCTGGGTGTTTTGCTTGATTGTCTCCTGTTGAAACTAATGATGAGGATTTATTAGGATTATTATGATGCATCAAAACTTTTAAAGAGACTTGAACTGATTCAAGTTTTTTTTTAGCTCCCAAACTATGATGCCCAAACTAATAACTTCATCAAATCAGAATGAAATAAGAATATTTTAATAAAATCGAAACTGCTTCTTGCTTTACACCTGCCGTTTGAGCAGTGCGTTGTCTGATGGCTGTCAAATAACTTATCCAACAAAAGTTTTAAGTCTCATAACTTTCACTATAACTTCAGCCGCCATCTGATGCATCAGCAGGTTGTTGGTTTCCCAGTCGACTCGCAGCCCTGGCAACCAATGCTATAGCGACCGTCGCCATGGCCCGTGCGGGAAAACATGAATGACATAAGTTCGAATCGAATTATATTAAAAGCGTTTCTGTTTTGTGATGTAAGGACACCAGCCGGATTACTTGCATAGCAGAAATGAGAATGGCGCGCGCTTGTAATGCGCCTCGGGAACAATGCGGGGTTCCTGCAGTTCTGCTAAAAACATTTCGAATAGAATCCCAGCTGCCCAAAGATCCGCGCAATCGATTGTAATTGAATTGCACCGTCATTATTCTGCCCCTCAACTCTATAGACAGTGGCTGCAATAACACACAGCCACGTTTACTGATGTTAAATTATTTGGAATTCACAAATGAACAATTACAGTTCAGTTTCTTTTTTCAAGCTGTGGTGGGAAAAAACTTTAAAAAAGAAAAAAAAAAAAGAATAGTTAAGTTTAGAAACCACAGCGCGGCCATGCACCTGTTACTTCTGCTGATGGGAATTACTGA